CCGCGGAGCGGGGGCTCTGGGAAGGCGACCCGGGCTGCGGCGCGGCTCCCTGCGAGGAGGAGCAGGGCGGCGGCTCCGCCCTGGAAAAAAGGCGTAGCCGGAGGTTACAGAAAACTCTAGATGCCGGCGCCCCAGACAAGGAGAGGATTGTCCGTGGGCGTGGGCGCGGGCGCGGGCGCGCGGGGCGGGGCGAGCGGAGGGGGCCCGGTTTTTTTCCGCGGTCACGAGCCGAGGACTTCGGTCAGAGGCAGCCCAGCCCACCGCTCGCCAGATACCGGAGAAAACTGAAACCCGGAGAGGGAAGTGACCCCTTGCGGTCCGATGAGAGGCGGGTCTTCGCCATTGCCCTGCCCCGGCGGCGGGGCGGAAGACTGGAGAGCGAGGCTGTGGGGACACGCGGAGCGGGGGCGGAGGAGGAGCGGGCGGAAGGCAGAGAGAGGCCGAGGGGACTGAAGCCCCAGAGGGGCGAGTGGTTGAAGTGTCTGTGGAGAGTCCTCAGGGACCTCTCAGATCGCCCACTCAAGACTGCTGCTCCTAGTCCTTGGGAGTCCCGTCCGTCATCTTTACGTCCCGGGAGAATCACCAGTGGCTGCCTTTGTGACAATGGCAAAAAATAAAAAATAAAGGACCAAAGGAAAATGATGTTTCTCGAAAGACCACTGGCAGCACATCCTTAAAATGACCCATTTCCAGGTTCCCACAAAATACAAAACGACACTGAGGCCGGAAGTACTTTTGCCCCTATAAAATATGGCAGAAAAGCGTGCTCATCTCCAAGGGAACATCGCATAATTAGTCAAGGCGTAGTATTGCGCATGCGTAGAAGCATACGTCGCCGGAAGTGATGTGCTCTTATTAACGCGGCTGGTTTAGCACGCGTGCGTAACAGGCTCTTCCGTCAGCTGTGTTGTGGAAATGGTGGAGAAGAAAACTTCGGGTATGTGAGCCCCCGGGGGGGGGTTTGCTCCCTTCCTTCTCTCAAATCCGACCCTGGCCTAAGATTTTTCTCACCTAATTATTAGTCTCAAATCCTTTCCTCGGTCCTCGGGTCCTGGAATCGGGGCTCCCCCAAATCATCCACTCACGTTTTACTGATACCTCTTCCCAGTGGGACTCTGGGGTGGAGAAAGGAAAAAAGATCCTTATTTTTCTAGAATTGGCTTTTTGGGAGGAGGACAGACATGCAGACCTACCATTGCCCTTTGTACCTGCTATGGCAGAGGGATGCACAGCGCCTGGGCGCATGAAAGAGGGGCACCCAATCCAGCTTCTGGAAAGGAGGGGACTGGAGGATTGGAGGGGAAGAGAACGCTTGAAAGCCTCGTTAGATTTCGCTCCTTGCAGGCGCCTGTGGACTCATTCCCCGCAGCAGGAACCACACTTGCAAAGGCAAGAAAGCAAGAAAAAGCAAGTTGCTTAGGAAGCCACGTTCACAGTTCTGGGTTTGCAGAGGCATAGTAAAAGAGGCTGGAGGGCTAGGGAAAGGCACACTTGAAAGGCATTATATACACTGCCAATGAATTTTAACTCAGAGCAGTAGAGAACCATCCAGGGCTTTTAAACTAGGGGAGTGACCGAAACAAAGTAATCTTTTAGAAAGGCAGTTCTGGCTTCAATGCAGAGGATGGATGGGAGGGACTAGGGCAGCACTGTCCAGTAGGATTTTGGGGGATGATGGGGATGTTTTTAATCAGCACTGTTCATGGCAGCATTAGCTACATGTGGCTGCTGAGCACTTGAAATGTGGTTAGTGCAATTGAGGAACTGAATTTTAAATTTTATTTCATCTTAATCTACATCTGACTTTAAATAACCACATGTGACTAGTGATTACTTGTTTGTATAGCACAGGTCTAGAGGCTGGAAGGCCAGTTAAGAAGCCATTAAGTGGTCCAGATAAAAAGAGATGAGGGTCAGAATACCTCCAGATAGACTCGTAATAAATCCAGTCATGTCACGCCTTTCTTTTTTAAAAAATGTTGTTTTTTGTTTGTTTTTTAGAGAGGGAGGGGGAAGGGATGAGAATAGAGAGATAGAAACATCCATGAGAGAGAAACATCATGGATCGGCTGCTTCCTGCACGCCCCCTACTGGGCATCAGCTGGCAACCTGAGCATGTGCCCTAGCGGGGAATCCAACCAGCAACCTCTTGGTTCATAGTTGACACTCAACTACTAAGCCACGCCAGCCGAGCGTCACTCCTTTCTTAAAACTCCTCACTGTATTTCCATCACCCTCACCACCATACAATCCTCAAATGCAAATTTTTATAGATACTTAAAAAGAAAGATTTTTAATGGTCTGCATGACTTCATACCTTTCCTCCCTCCCACACACACTTTATATACCAGCCATACAGAACTTTTCATTTGAAGGCACCACAGTCTCCCATCCAGGCTTTCTCTCATGCTGGTTCCAAGGCCTGAGACACCCTCCCTTCTCTCCCAACCAAGTTAAATTCTACTCATCAGTCAGGCCTCAACCTGGGCATACTTTCCTCTGGAAAATCTTCCTGACTACCCCAAGGCCAGGCTAAGTGTTTCTGTCATGCTCTCTGTAGCACTTTGTACTTCCCTATACCAGCATATACTATACTTTACCATTCTTGTTTTGTCATTTGTATTCGCCACTAGATTATAGACGCTGGTTGTATTCCAAGAGCTTAGGGCACAACCTGGCACTTGGAAGGGGGCAGAATAATGCAGTGATCAAGAGCATGTTTTTTTGATGCTGGGCAGTTTGGCATTTGAATTCTGACCCAGCTACTTACCAGCTATGCACAGTTCAGTAAGCTGAGGATGATAATGATACCTTTTCCGTAGGGTTGTTGTAAGGGTTAAAGGATTCCATTTGTATAGAGCTTCATATAGTGTGTGGCTCATTGTACATGCCCAGTGTTAGTCACTGGCACTGATGCTATGATTGTGGTTATAGGCCCTCAACAAATACTAGTTTAATGAATAAAGAGACATTTTGTGGTGAACAGCTGATAATGGTAATGAAGAGAGCACTTTAAAATAATCCTAGATTTTTGGTTTGGATGTCTATGTAGATGGTTTCCTTCACTTGAAGTCTACAGGAGGAGAAGCAGACTTGGGTGGGAAGGTTTTTGATTTTGAGTTGCATTGTCAATGGAGCCAGCAGGTAATCTCCTGCCGCCAGTTGAATCGTCAGTTTTGGAGCTCAAGAGAAGGTTTTGGATTGAGAAAATCACTTTTGGAGTCATTTGCTTGTAGGTGAGAGAGCTTTGTGTTTGGATTAAAAAATCTCAGGAGAGATAACAGGGACAGCCATCTCCTTAGAGGCAGAGAGAGAAGGCGAGGTTGGAAACAGAAGCATAGCCAGATATGGAAGGAAAACTGGAGTCATGTGAAAGAAGCCTCTGAAGGGACTCTTTCAATGCAAGGGAGATGGAAAACACAGTCTCAGAGTGCAGAGAACCCGGGTAAGATGTAGCCTGGACTTGGCCTGCGGAGGTCACCAGTGTCTTGAGTGTGAGTGGTTTTCATAAAAAACCAGCCGGTTACTGGGTTGGGGGTGGATGGGAGATGAAGAAATGAAACATCACATGGACTCTCCGTCAAAGAAGAGCAGCTGTGAAGTTGGGTAGACACTAGAGAGTTTCGTAGGTTTTTCCATGAAGGGAAAGTACCAGTTGAGGAGGAGAGTTTGAAGATACAAGAGGGAGGGGAGGACTCAGCCACAGGTGAAGAACTGGGTTTAGCAGTGAGACTTGGTGGGGGTGCCCCAGCAATTATAAAAGATGAGTGTCTCTGCGTGTCAGCGGCCCATTTCCTTTGAGGTAGGAAATGAAATTGCATAAAGGCCAAGTGCATTCAGGTACCAGTGGAGCCTGGAAGCCCTGAATTTACAGTGGTCTCCTCAGCACGGTTGTGTGATTTCTGCCAGCGTTTCTTTGATTGGATCCTCTGGGATTGGGAGGAAAGGCTGCAGCCAAAGAAATAGAAAACAGGCATGAGTGATTGAAATGGCAGACTTAACCAACTGGGAAGGAAGCAAAGCAGAGGGGCTGATATATATCCCCTTACCCACAGGGGAGCTCCAGAACCCCCAGTGGAGCCTGAAATTTCGGATAGTACTGAACCCTATACATATGTTTTTTCCTATACGTATATATATTTTACAGCTTCTCTTTGGCATATCTTTGACATCACTACACTTGTGGTTTTGGGGCCATTATTAAGTCAAATAAGGGTTACTTAAACACAAGCATTTCGATACCACAACAATTGATCTGATAACTGACATGGCTACTTAGTGGTTAACGGGCAGGTAGTGTATACAGCCTGGATACTTGGGAAAGAGATGATTCACAGAAAGGAGTGGGTTGGCCTGAGATTTCATCACAGGCTCCTGTTGTTGGTGGCCCTGGATGCTGTAACTCTTATGTGGCACTAGAGCTAGAACAGTGTGCAATTTAAAACTTATGAATTGTTTATTTCAATGTAACATTTTCAGATCACAGTTGACCGCAGGTAACTAAAACTGCAGAAAATGAAATCTCAGATAAGGGGGAACTACTGTATTGGTAGAAGATATAGGGGCCGAGGGCTCAGTGACTAGGATGAGATCAGAGAACTGTGACTCCACACCCCATGGATATCATCCACACACTGCCCAGAGCCTGGGTTACCCCAGCTTCTCTCTTCTCTGTGTGCCCGACCCCCAATAACTCTTCTGGTTTTGCCCCATCTAGTTCGCTCCCAGGACCCTGGACAGCGGCGGGTGTTGGACAGGGCTGCCCGGCAGCGCCGTATCAACAGGCAGCTTGAGGCCTTGGAGAATGACAACTTCCAGGATGACCCCCATGCAGGACTCCCCCAGCTTGGCAAGAGACTGCCTCAATTTGACGATGATGCAGACACTGGTGAGGTGGATGGGACTGGGGAGACATGGCTGAAGGAAGGGGAAAGAGACTGCCTCGATTAGGGTTGTGGAAGGACATTGGGCTGGGGGGCAGATGACCCAGGAGCTCCTCTGGCTCTGCCAGGAACTGGCTCCTGTGACTTTGACCAAGTCACTCTCCCCATTCTGTGCCTTAGTTTCCTCTTGTGTATGTAGAATAAAGATGATGGAGTAGGTGAGCTCTGAACTCCCTTCCAGTTCCAATATAAAGTCTTAGATTTAGGGAGTGTAGAGATGAGGAAAAGCTGGGATTAGAGAAGTTGGGGGAAGGGAAAAGGATGGTAGACAGAGGCCTACTGAGAGCCCAGGTGAGTATGGAGTAGGGAATGGACGAGGGCACTGGGAATGATGGGGCAAGGAAAGATGGTGTATTTCTTGGGACGTGACAAGTAACTCATTTCTCTTGACCTCTAGGAAAGAAAAAGAAGAAAACTCGAGGTGATCATTTTAAACTTCGCTTCCGGAAAAACTTTCAGGCCTTACTAGAGGAGCAGGTGAGAGAGGAGCTGGCAGGGAGGAACCCAGAGAGAAGGGCCAAGCCACAGAGATGCTTGTCCCTGGCGGGTGTTTGCTATGTGGGTGGAGGAGTCGTGTAGTCTTCCCCCTTGTATCTGCAGAACCTGAGTGTGGCCGAGGGCCCCAACTACCTGACAGCTTGTGCAGGACCCCCATCCCGGCCCCAGCGCCCCTTCTGTGCTGTATGCGGCTTCCCCTCCCCATACACCTGCGTCAGCTGTGGCGCCCGGTACTGCACTGTGCGTTGTCTGGGCACCCACCAGGAAACCAGGTTAGCTTGGAATGTGCCCCAGGTCCACACCCTTTTCCCCCTACACCCCACAACCTCCCAGGCCCTCTTCTCATCCTGGGCTTCTCTGCCTGTAGATGCCTGAAGTGGACTGTGTGAGCCTGGGTGTCCCTGGAGAGGAAGGCCCTCTGTGCATCAACCTGTCCTCCGAAAGGACATCACGGAAATGAAAGGTGCTCCCCTGGACCAAGAGAGGAACTTTCACTCACCCAACAAACCTTGTGTCTTCTCCTCCAGAGAAGACCAGTCTTACTCCCAGGGATGTGGCAGGGAAGTGGGCCACCCCACAGGGTACTATCATAATAAAAGTTCTTATGTGAGGAGGCACCGGCCTTTTGGTCACATGGTGTTTCAGGGGTGAGGGTGATGGGTCATCTGTTTTGCCTACTCGCTACTCTGTCCTTTTTTTCCTACCTGTCAAACACTGCTCCTACTCTCTGCCCCTCTAGGTCCCTGACCATGAAAGATTTTGTCCCATTCTCCATGTCTCTGCATTTCTTGGCTGCTTCTTGATGTCACATTTTTGGTTATTGATTTAGTTAATTTGTTTTTGCTTTTTGTTCTTCTAGTTCTTCTGAATGATTTTTGAATACAGCAAGGCCCCAGGAATGGCCAGTCTGAGGATTGTCCTGAGGAAGCTCTTATTATCAGGGGCTGTGGTATGTGAACTTATTAGCAGAGAAAACCCAGAAGTTTCTGGGAGGCAGGGAGGAATTCATGGTGTAGAGGCTCCTGTTCTTGGGGTCCCTGGATGTTATAACTCTTGGGTGGTACTAGAGCTTCTTCCACCCACACCTCTTCTAAGTGTGTGTGTGTGTGTGTGTGTGTGTGTGTGTGTGTGTGTTTAAGGAAATAATTTTTTTATATTTTTAAAATCATTTTTTATTGAGAATATTACAGATGTTCCTCCACCCCCCCCCCCCATTACCCTCCTCAACTGATTTCTGTCCTGCCTCAGGCCTCCTACGACCCTATTGTCTGTGTTCATGGGTAATGCATATCTATAATAATAAAAGTGTAATATGGTAATTAGACTAGACAGCCGAATGACCTTCCGGACGTCATTCTGACGTCCTTTTGGACTAAGACACAGTGGCAGGGGCTGAGGCAGAGGCAGATAGGGGCCATCAGGCAGGCAGACGAGCAGTTAGGGGCGATCTGGCAGGCAGGCAGAGTAGTTAGGGGTGATCAGGCAGGCAGGCAGGCGAGTGGTTAGGAGCCAGTTGAACCAGATTGCGAGAGGAATGTCCAACTACTGGTTCAGGCCCGATCTCGTAGGGATCCCCATGGGATCAGGCCTAAACTGGCAGTCGGTCATCCCCCAGGGGTCCTGGATTGCGAGAAGGGTGCAGGCCGGGCTGAGGGACTGCCCCCACACCCCATGAATTTTGTGCACCAGGCCTCTAGTATACATATAAGATCTTTGGTTAATCTCTTCCCACCCCCACTTCTCTTCCCTCTGAGATTTATCAGTCTGCTCCATGTTTCCATGCCTCTGATTCTATTTTATTCATCAGTTTATTTTGTTCATTAGATTCCTTGTTTGTTTATTTTGATTTTTAGATTAAAATATTGATAGATATGTACTTATTGCCATTTTATTGTTCATTTTTTTCTTCTTCTTTCTTCTTCTTCTTCCTTTAACATTTTGTGTATCGGCAGGCAGGCAGGCGAGTGGTTAGGAGCCAGTTGAACCAGATTGCGAGAGGAATGTCCAACTACTGGTTCAGGCCCGATCTCGTAGGGATCCCCATGGGATCAGGCCTAAACTGGCAGTCGGTCATCCCCCAGGGGTCCTGGATTGCGAGAAGGGTGCAGGCCGGGCTGAGGGACTGCCCCCAATTCTCTTTTGGCCTGATGTGTTTCTGTTGAGAAATCAGTTGATAGTCATATGGGTACTCCCTTGTAAGTAACTAACTGCTTTTCTCTTGCTGCTTTTAAGATTTTCTCTTTGTCTTTAACTTTTGGCATTTTAATTATGAGTTTTGGTATGGGCCTCTTTAGATTCCTCTTGTTTGGGACTCTCTGCATTTCCTGGACTTGTAAGTCTATTTCTTTCACCAGGTAGGGGAAGTTTTCTGTCATTATTTCTTTAAATAGGTTTTCAATACCTTGTTCTTCCATAATGTGAATGTTGGTATGCTTAAAGTTGACCCAGAGGCTCCTTACACTACCTCCATATTTTTGGATTCTTTTTGCTCTTCTGATTGGGTGTTTTTTGCTTCCTCGTATTCCAAATCCTTGATTTGATTCTGAGAATCCTCTACTTTATGTTGGATCCCTATAAATGATTCTTTATTTCAGTTACTGTATGCTTAGTTTCTGACTTGTCTTTATTTTTATCCTCACCTGAGGGTATTTTTTTCCATTGATTTTTTTTAAGAGAGAGTGGAAGGGAGAGGGAGAGACAGAGAGAAACACTGATGTGAAGAGACACATTGATTGGTTGCCTCCCGCATGCCCCCGACTAGGGCGGGAGCCTGCAACCGAGGTACATGCCCTTGACTGGAATCAAACCTGGGACCCTTCAGTGCGCAGGCCAACACTCTATCCACTGAGCCAAACCAGCTCAGGTCTTTTTTAATGTCTTTGACATTCTCACCTAGATCCTTGAAAGTCCCACTAAGTTCCTTGAAGCTCTCATTAAGTCCCTTGAAGCTCTCACTAAGATCCTTGAGTAATCTTACAACCACTGTCATGAACTGTATCCAATAGCTTGCTTGCTTCCATTTCTTTCATTTGTAACATATGTTTTTGTCTCCGCATTTTGGCTGCTTCCCTGTGTTTGTTTCAGTGTATTAGGTAGAGCTGTTATGTTTCTTGGAATTGGTAGAGTGGCCTTGTGTAATAGGTATAGGGCCCAGTGGCTGAGCCTTTCCAGTCATCAGAGCTGGGCATTCTAGGTGTGCCCCAGAGTGGGCTGTGTGTACGGTCTTATTGTAGTTGAGCCTTGATTGGCATCACTGGGAGGAATTGGCCTCCAGGCCAATAGGCTGTGAGGACCAGCCATCTCCAGTGGAAGAGCTGCTATATAGGAGTTGCTCTCCTAGTTGCCCAGGACTCTGTTGGAACATAACCAAGCAGGTACTTACGAAGTATTGGTTGAACATATGACCTCAATAAAATATTAACGACATCCGGCCAAGTCAGAGTTAGGCACCCTTTTAGGCTCTTCTCCCCATTTCAGAGGACTTTCTTGGGGCTGGCTCAGATGTTCCTGGTGTCTTCCTGAGGAACTGCCTGCCCTTTCTCTGGAGACTTGCAGTTGGGCCAGTGGTGTTGGTGAAGCCTTTGTGTTGAATGGTGGTGAAGACAGGGTTTACAGTCAGTCAGTCCTAAGTGTGGTGGTTTTAAATGATGGCTGTAAATTTTTTGACTGTTCTTCCATTGAAGGTGGGGTCTTTTTCCCCTTCCTCTGGGATCTGGGTAGACTGCTTCAACTAGGAGAGAGTGGCAGAAGTGAAACCATGTGACGTGCAAGGCAAGGTGTAAAAGGCAGTGCAGCTTCTGCCTTGTCCCTAGGACACTTGTTTGTTTGTTTGTTTTTTTAAACTAAATTTATTGAGGTGACATTGGTTAATAGGACCATATAGGTTTAGGACATTTGCTTTTGTAACCCTCAGCCACCATGTAAGAAATCCAACTGTTCTGAAGCCACCATGCTCTGAGGAGCCCAGGCTACATGGAGAGGCACGTGCCGGTGGTCCCGGGGACAGGTCCAGTTGATAAGCCCTCAAGCCATCCCAGCCTAGGCTTCCATCATAGGAGTGAAGATGCTTCCTGATGACTTCAGCCAAGGCACCAAGTCAGCCTCAGCCATTTGAGTCTTCCTAGCTTGGTCCTCAACATCATGGAACAAGCACTAGCCATCTCTGCTGAGTCCTGTCTAAATTCCTGACCTGCAGAATCTGTGTGTGTAGTAAGTTTATGCCATTGAGTCTTGGGATGGTTTGTTATGCAATAGTAACTGGGCCATCACTAATCCAGCTTGCTAACTGCTAACTCCTGGCCTCGGTTTATTGTCTCTCTCAGGAAGAGAAACTTTCCTGGGTTCTAATCTTTCTTTTTTCCTCTCTACCAAGAAGTACACTCAAGAAAGAAACTAGAAGAAAAGACGATTTCCTTGCAGAGAAGCACCACCTGTGCTTGGCTGTGTTCCACCTGCCTTAGAATTCCTGTCAGATTTCCACCGAGTCAGCACAATCTCTTTGGTTTATTTCCTAAGTTCACGGACTTTATTTCATATTTTGTTGTTCTAAAAACAATCACACGGGTTCTGCTTGGTGTGAGATCTGTCTGCTCACTGACACACTCAGCCTAACCCAGTGGTCGGAAAACTGTGGCTCCCCACCCAACACCTCCCATGCGCCACACACTCTTCCACAGAATACCAACTTCTGCGCATGGGCCACGAAGTTTCAATTGCACTGTACGTGTGCACCCACATGTGGTATTTTGTGGAAGAGCCACAGTCAAGGGGCCAAAGAGCCACATGTGGCTCGCGAGCCGCAGTTTGCCGACCACTCGCCTGACCCAACTGACCTTGATAGGACAGAGCCAGACCCCAAGGCCCTCCCTTGCTCTGACATAGGCTGTCTCTACAAGTCATCGCTGACATTCTCTAGGAAGGGTCTCCAGACTCCCATTTAAAACCACGGCTCCTCAAGAAAAGCCTTGACCAACTTTTGCCAGCTTCCTGTGTACTAGTGGAAACTTGGTCCCCACCTTAGGAGGCACCTAGACCTTTGGGAAATCTACACTATGCCAAAAGCTTCTAGCGGCCAAAGCCAGGGTTGTTTGATGGGGCCCCACAGCCCCTGCCTGGGCACACAGGAGCAGAAGAGGTTAATGCTATGATCCGGAAGGCTGGAGGCTTGGGGGGCTCACAGCTAAAGACCTCAGTGAGTACTGACTCTGATTGATGGGAATTAGTTTGGAGAGCCAGGAATTCTGGGAAGTAGACCCGGTGTATCTTCAGTCTTAGACAAATCTTGGTCCTACTACTTATGGGTTGTGTAGCTTGGATAGGTCACTTTACCTCTCTGACTGCATAGCCACCTCCCAGATATTGTGAGGATTAAGTGAGGCAGTGACCTAGCCCAGCGTCTGGCATCCAGAAAGTGCTCAGAAAATGATAGCTATTGACCTTATTGCCCAAGACCTAAAGCAGTTTGTTGTGGAGCATTTTCATAACCAGTTCCTTAAAAAACTGGAGGATTCTTTGGAGTAACCCTGGCATCTTGTCCATTATATGGTAACTAGCTGTTTACATTTCTCTTTGCTCCTATCTTGTGAGTTTTTTTAGGGCAGGGGTTATGTCTTAGTGC